GGGCTTTGAGATTTCACATCAAGACCTCCAGCGGTAAAACTGATTCCAAATCTGCATTAATAGATTGTTTTAAGACTCACTAGGAGAAAGTAAGCTGGCTGATGAAAGAGACATTACACCATCTAGCAGCCGTCAGAGGTTTCTTCAGAGGGTTTCCATTCCTGTTTGGATTGGTCAGGTTTTGTGCTGCATAGAGGGGGACTTTCAGAAGACCAGAGTTCAGGGCAGCACTTTCCAGCCAGCAGCTGGTAGGTCCCTGCAGATGGCATCCATTCCCTGGTGGGATTGTCACAGCGCTGCAGTGTCTGGATTTTCCGGGCAGCAGTGATCTGTTGCTTTATTTTTAACCCGCCCACCCTGCAAAAGATTATCAGACTACTGACATGTGTGATACAGCTTGCTGGCATTAATGAGGGGCTAGGGAACTTGAGGAAAAGTGTAAGAAGCCTTGGGGCAGACTGGAACGACTCACGGGTGAAACTCCTTCCAATTCCTTTCTGATACAGGTTCCAGGGTTTATCTGGCACACATGTAAAGATGGGTTCTTTTATAATCCAGAATACCTATTGTACTTTAAATAGGAAAACTAGCAACATATTTGACATTTTTTTTCCCTTCCTATGAATAATGCAAAGCAGCATGTGTACACACCTACATACATCATCAGGATGCTTTTCTTTTGGTAAGACCTGTGTACACCTGCAGGCAGTGCCACTGCAGCTCCAGAGCTGCTGCTGAAGTTTGTCAGCATATGCATGTAGCAAGGGAATATGATGGACTTTCTGAAGTGTGAATGAGCCAATAAAATCTGAAGTTCATACAGCATGTTTTTAGATTCCAGTAGATACCAAACCAGAGACAGGCAACTGTGTTTGTCCTTGTTGGGAATCTTTGGGGAAGAGCAATTCAGCCTTTATTTTGGAATGTGTAACGGGCAGAGAAGCTGTAGTGGGTGGCAGGTGAGGGATGACAGAATAAATAGCTTTTTCCACCTGGGTAATTCCAATGGTACTTCTCACTGTAACAATCCAGCAATTTACAGACTGTTAGGTTCATCTCATGACTAATTCGTGTTCTTTTGTCACCTGGGAATGTGAGGTCCTGATGGAGTGGATGATGGAAGTGCGTTTAAAGTGGTCTCCCACCTGCTTCTGCTATAATGAGGTTACCTGCTATTGTCAGTTGTCCTTTCTCATGTACTTAATGCTGATAACCCAGGGAAACTTAATTTTGTGCTTCTGTTGCTGTCAGGGGAATGCCCCAGCCACCAGGCCCAAGTCATGTGCATGCTTCTCGTTCCTTTTTTTCTTTTCAACTACCTCCAGAGAATCTGTCTCATTTCCTCTGAATCTGAGTGTTCTTGCTGTAGCTCCGTGGTTCTAGCAATGTAATGAGGACTCAGCTGATGTGGTTCCAGATGTCTGCTGACATTTTTAGTTACTGTTTTGCCTGCCCTGCAGAAAGCAAAACTGGACTACAGGTGGGTGAAATCTTGTCTCCACTGCGCTTATATCTTCTTGTGGGCTCTGAGGCCAAGTTTTTGACCTCTTTTGTCTTTTGAAATGGTATTAGTTTCCAAAGGTTCTCTGCAATGGCAGTGTGGCTGGAATCCATCTGGCAGGACCCAGTGTGGCTCTAGATAAAGGGCACGTTAGAGCTTCAGGCTGTGCTCTGTCCTGACATTCCCATGTGCCCCAGCCAGGTTTGCAGGAAACACCTCTGGACAAGAGCAGTAGGCTGTGTTTGTGGCTTATTGGCTGTTGGCAGCATCAGTAGAGAAATCTCTGAAGGGTCCGTCTCTGAAAACAAGCTTAGCTTTTATTATAGTTTGCTGAATGCTCAAACGCCTAAGAGAGATTTTGTTTAAGTATTTTACTCCAGTGGATGATATGTGAACAGCCATGGAGGCCGGAGGACAATTGGATTCCTCCTCCTTCACAGGCAAATGACTGCCCTGCCAATGGGACCTGGCTGGTGCACATACCCTCATTCTCCCTATCCTGCTATCCCATGATTACTTCAGTTTTCCAGACCAAAAGGAGGTGGAAAGTCCTTTTTCCATGAACTGAACAGCACCTACACTTGTGGTAATGGGACTTCTTGCATTTGTGATTTATGAACCAAATGCCATGCAAGGGAGGAGAAAGCCCAGCCTTTATCTGTCACTTCCTTGGCGAGTGTACTCAGCTGTTGGGTGGAGGTGCTGTAGTAATGAAGGACACTCACTTTGTGCGAGGGATAGCCTGAACATCTAACTGGAATTCTGAAGAGAAGGAAGTATCAAGGAGCTATCTGCTTGCCTTAGCATTCCTTCCCTGGAGGCCTTTTTGGCAGGCCCCCAGTTTGAAGCTTGGACCCCTCTTCACGGGTGCCCAACTTCTCACCCCTGGATCAGGGAGCACGTGATGTTAATTTGGCTGTGGAAGACATCCCATGGAGTTTGTCATAACTTGCTTTGTGTGGAGTGGCACTGCTTTTCTGGCATCCCTGTCTCTTTGCACTTGGTACTGCAGATGGTGCCTTGATTCACGTAACTTTATACTTTAATTAGTGCTGTGGAATTAACATGCTTCAGGTTGACAGTGACAGGCTTTGAGTGTGTGCGTTGTTAGGCACCTTCTGGATTGGGGATGCTACACTGTGGCATCGGGGTTAAGTTTAGAGGTTTTTCTAAGCCATCCTTGAACAAAGCCTGGCTTTATTAGAGCGTCTGCCAGGCCTCTTTACCCCAGAGAAGGGCTGTTTCGCATCATCTTTGAATATGTAATTGGATTATGTCTGCTGCTTGAGCTCTTTCAAAGAATTCTAACACACACTATCCTCGAAGTACCTGCAGAAAAACTAGTTTGACTTGTTTGTCATCATCAGAAAGGCTTAATGGTGTTTTCTAATAATTTCTCTTGTTCTCTTTATGATAATAACGTCCTTACCTGCAAGCCCAGAACCCTTTGTGAAGCGGACACAGAGCAGGGTCTGTCTTCTTCCCTTGGCTCAGCTGTCGCTGGCAGTAGCACAGAGCCTATTACCTGGCATATTTTCATCAGAGCTCAACATTCTCTGGATTTAATTTCCTTCTGTTTTCTTGGGAAAATACCTTCCCCTCCTGCTTTGTTTATTACAGTCTAATATTCCTGTCTCAGCACACATTTACCTGTCCTCTGGCTTGGCTCCTTTAGAGGATGCAGCTAAATAGGTGTGTGGAGGACCTGGGGAGGGTTCTGTGAGTTGTATTTATGCTGTGTGCTGAGATTCAGTACTGCTGCTCAGTCCTGTGTTTCCCTGTCTTCCAATAAGGAAGTGTCCTTGTGGTCGCTTGTTTATGCATCTAGTTGTGTTTTATTTTTAAAATTGGTGATGCCTAGAAGTTAGGGAGGCATTGCCTTCAAAGCTTTCATGCATGCTTTATGACGCACCTTCTTGGCATCTATGGAAGTAATATAAATCCTGATCATGTCAGTAAGGCTTCTGGATTTGGCTGTGTGTTCTAATGGGCAGAGACCATCACCCAGCAAACAGAGTGTGTGTCATGGGGAAGCAGCAGGTGTTGCCTGCATTTTTGGTTTTGCTCATGACTTCC